TCAATCAGCTGCCTCCTGCACCACCCCCCACCAGGGATGTGCCCACAAACAAGGTACATGCCCTTGACCGGAATCGAACCTGGAACCCTTCAGTCCTCAGGCTGACACTCTATCCACTGAGCCAAACCAGTTAGAGCTGTAGTATGGATTTTAATACAGTAATATATATATCACTTGTGATAAGATTTACCACGTGACTTGGCATGAAGTTGTATGTCATGTAAAAATGTTTGCACTTAATTTACAAAATATTTAGAAATACTTGCTTAGTAGAATTGTAAGGCTTACCATAGGCTTACTATAAAACTTAAAACTCAGTGTTTATCTAAGATAAACATTTAGCAAACATTCACCAAATATTTGTTGAGGGCCTTCTGTGAGCTGGGCACTTGTAATTGGTTACAGCCTTGGATTTTGAAATGAATTTGCTTCCCTTTTTTTGTTCGTTTCTTGCCACAGTCCCAACCATGTGAGATCCTAGCTTAAATGTGCAAGAAGCTCATGTGATGCGTTATCAGTACTTCCCGAAGCATGCTGGGAAGGTCTCACTTACTGTTTTGGTTTCCTCTGGCTCCACTGCCCCACCAGTTCCCCTGCTGAACATGGTTTTGCTCCCAGCAAAAACATGTACACACAGCAATTAAAACCATACGTACTCACTTTTATGGAAATGGCAATACTAAAATTTGTTTTAATGTAGGCATGGTATAAAAGTAGATTCAGAGCAGAATTTCAGCTAACTGAAAAATATGCATGGAGGAAGGTATGTTCCAAATCTTCAATAGGAACAGATTTCTGTTAAAATTGGCAAACAGTGACTGGGGCTTTTCTTGTGCACTTTGCACGGAGGCAGTGCGCTGTGATTGTTAGGGTCCCGTGTGCTGATTCTGGGATCTGAAGAGCCATCTTTCCTGGCTCCGAGTCCTCAAAAAGGTTAGGAAGCCTCTCTGTGCCTCGGTTTCCTCATCAAGCATTGGGGGCCGTTGATGCCTCCTTACTTCATGGGATGGCCGGATGGGGAATTGAGATAGAAAGTATGTTGCAGGAAAGGTTGCTCCTAGTCTCCGCAGTGTCACTGACCTCAGTCAGCTCTTACACTGCAGATCATGACTCTCTAGCCTGGTCAAGCACCCATCCTCCACGGTGGCTTCACACCTTTCTCCTCTCTCCTCAAACCCCAACACTCCCTCTCTGTCCTAGGTTTCAGCTGCCGACCTGCTTCCTGTTTCATATAGAAAACAACCAATCAGATGAAAGCAGCCCTCCTTCCAGCTGCCCACCTGCACGAGTGCCCACATGCTCTACCTTCTCCCCCAGTCCTGTGGGTGACTGCCCCCTGGGGCACTAGATTCCATCCCCTTATGCCACCTCCTTCCCTCTTCCAGATCAGATTGTTCCCACTAACTTATCAACATACTGTTACTTTCCCTCCCATGAAAACAAACTAGCAAACACACAAAAGTTCGTCCTCCTGGCCTCCTCATGGCTCTGCCCACCTCGACTCTGACACCCCTGTAAAATCACAGGCCTCTGCATCTCCTTGTCCACCTCACGTTGCCCATGACTCTGCTCATTTTACGCCCCCCCCCCACAGCGCTTACCACTTTCCAACACTACCCCTCCCCCATTAGAGTGTGGACTCCACAAGGTACACTAGCACCCGTTTTATTGCATCCTGGGCAAAGTATGTGCTCCAAAATATTTGTTAAGTGGGTGGACAGCTGTTAGCCACTGAGATAGTCTCGGACCTTTTATCATAGGATAATGCTTCACAGACACCTTCCTGCATGTGCCCTCCTTTGGTTAGGCATCACTTCAGGATTTGCATGCACCAAGTAATCGGGTGCCAGTGTGAGCTGGCCTCCTTACCCCTCCCTGTGCAGTCTGCTGTTTCTGATCCACATCCAGACTCTAGCACCACTGTCACCTGAGCTGGAAACCTGAGCATCCTGTCTTCCACATCCACCCAGAAGGTCATCAAGTCTTAAGAGGCTCTTAATCTCTTTCACACCTCTCTCCTCCTCTCCTCTCCACCGCTGCCCCTTCCTTCTTGACCCCCCTGCTCCTTTACACTTTACACTGCTGCCAAAGTCATTGTTCTAATATGCAGATCTGATGCTCCCTCTCGCTGTTTAAACGGTGCAGTTCCGCTATAAGCTCTTACAGGATGCCATCCCACCTCCAATATCTGGGCCCACCTTCCCCCCCCCCAGCCCCACCCTTGCCTCCTGGAGATCCTCCCTGGACTCCAGCCACACCAAGTGACTCAGTCGTGGTAGGTAGTGGGCTGTGGCCCGCTCTTTGGGACTGCAGTTCACTCTGCCTGGAATGCTTGTCCCCCGGTCCTGCCAAATCACCGCTGGCCTTCCAGGTGGGGCTTCCTCCTCACTCTCAGGCACCCAGGGCTCCCGGGCACCGGTAACCCTCTCACTGCACTGCTGTTGTGAATTTATTGTCTGGCTCCTTACCATGCTGTTCCTTTTTTGTGTTCCCGGTCAGTCCACCTTGCAGGTGGAACCTGGGATAACGTGCCACACTCAGTTTGTTGGATGAATGAAGGAGAGGGACCTGCTTTGAGTCTGGGCAGCCTTCGTCAAAATGATGTGGGGAAATCTCCAAGCCACACCGTATCATTCACTAATGGGGTGCCCCCAGGATTTCCAAGTTGGGGCACTTCTGAGAGGAAGTCAATTTTTGGAAGAGAAGGGAGCCAGAAGCTACATATTTTGTGGAGTTTGATTAGCAAACATAGGCCTGTGAGGAAAGGACAATTAACCATGAAATTGAAGGGACAGCTGCCAACTTACATTTAGTCCAACAGGGAAGGACATCACTGAGCTAGCTGACGCTGCTCATTAGCAATTTGCAAGGCAGGGATGGACAGGGGCCCCATTGGGTGTCCACAGCTGTCCAGGTGTTAGGACGTCTGAATTGAGCCCACTTCTCCTCAATGGTTGATGAGACATGACATGGGGTTGCACCCCAGTTTTTGCCAGCAGGGGCTTTCACTTTCAGCTGTTTTAATCCTATGGTTCATTTCTCACAGCTGCTCTGAGGAGCCCAGGGCCATGCCACTCCAGGACAGGACCTTGCCTGACCCACTCAGCCAGTCTCCGTTCTTGACCTGGCTCTCCCCCTAATGCTAGCCTGGCCTGCCCCTCATTCCAACCCCACAGGATTGGCAGGATGACGGGAATGGGCTTTGAGGAGCTATACCTGTGATAAAGAAATATGATGATGTTGATCCTGAGAAGAATATACCTGCCGAAAAGGACTCCTCATGGTTAATTAGGCTCAAATTAATAACCAGAGTCTAGGGGCCATTGTTTATATAGGTCCCTCATGTACACTACTTTTCAGGGAAAACCTATAGACTAAGCTGTCAGGCTTTCTGCAGTGTCTTCTAGCTGAGCTGACTCTTATGAGAGCTCCGAGGATCAAAATTGGACCAGTGGGACTGAGACTTTCCCCATCCAATCAGGCTACACAACTATATCCTCATTAGCATTTTCACTGAACCATTAGAACAACTCCATTCCAACTAATCAGGACAGTGGTCTTTAGACCAACCAGTGAGAATTTGGAGTCCTTATTTGCATGAAAGTGGGCCAATCAGGGATCAGCGGTGGATACCTCTTTCTATATAAGTCTGCTTTGAGACTGCACACTTTCCGTTTACACCAAAGACATACTTGGGTGGCTGGAGTTAACGCAACAGTGGAGCTGTAACATCCCGTTAGGGTTGCTTACTGTTGAGTTGAATTGGCTATAACAAGCGACCTTCAGTTGACATTGGTGCGTTATGAGCAATTGAAGATCAGACAGGGAACTGCAGTTGTCCCTGACCTAAGTCAAAATTCAGGCCACATGAAAAAGTATGGGAGGTTCTGAGGAGCTACAAATGTGAGGGGCCTCAGGCTTGCAGAGCTTTCTTTTCTTTTTTTTGTTAATCCTTACCTGAGGATATTTTCCCCCCCTTGATTTTTAAAGAGAGTGGAAGTGAGGGAGGGAAGGGGGGTGAGGTGGGGGTGGGGAGAGAGAGAGAGAGAGATGGATGAGAGAGGCACATGGATTGGTTGCTTCCTGCACTGACCAGGGCTGGGAATGGAACTGAGACCCTTCACTGTGGTGGTGGTGGGGCAATCTAACCACTGAGCACACTGGTCAGGGCTGCAGATCTTTCTTTTTGAAGTGTTGTTACAAACCCATTAAGCATTAGGTTTGACAACAAAAATGCTTCACTGAGGGAGCCTGACAGAGTGATCTCAGTCAAGTGTAGGTCACTTCCTCTCTACTGAGCCTCAGTCTCTGGTCTGTAAATTAAGAATAAATGCCTCCTGAGTTACTGTGAAAGTTAGCAAAACCGAGGAACAATGATTGGACAGTGCCTGTCACACAGTAGGTGCTAGTATTTTTGTCCTCATGGGGGAGGTATTTGTAATCAGTGCTATAAATCACATGATTTGATTAGTCAAGAAAACCCCAGCTGAGGCCGGGTTCACACACACTCCCTGCTTTTTCCTGTAGGAGTTGACGCTTCCACTGACCCTGACTACATCCTGATGGGGATCCAGAGTCGCTCAGAATGTGGAGCCCTGGTGGTGACATCCAGGGGGTGGCCCGGGAACTCGCGCTGCCAGGCCCTCCTCTAGGCCATCCCAGCCCCGTGGTGGGTGGTCTTGGGCCCTAGGACTCCCCGCTGACAAGGAGTCTCCGTGTCCTTGGAGATGGGTGACCGGCCCTAACGCTGGGCTGGGGGTCCAAGGGCCACGACTCTCAGTGGCGTCTGCGGCTGGGGGGTGGGGGTGTATGTGCGCGCGCGCTCTCCTTGAGATGGGAGATCTGGGAGCCGCGGATGCCAGGCAGGAAGACCAGGCAGAAAGGCGCCGAGGGTTACCGCCAACAGGTGGCTAGCGGGGCGGCCCCTTTAAGACGCCGTTCAGCTCCGCCCCGCGCCGCACCCCCGCCGGGAGCCGTGCCACGTGACCCGAGTCTTGTGACTGGCGGGAGGGGGGGCGCGGAGGGGAAGCCCGCCCGCCGCCCGCCGGGAGCGGGACTCGCCGCTACGCCGTCCGGGTGTCCCCACGAGTCAGCGCCTGAGCCAGAGCGGGAGTCAGAGCGGGAGCCGAGCCGGGCGCGGTGGGCGCCGCCCGCCATGGACCACAAGCCGCTGCTGCAGGACCGGCCGCTCCTACCGTACAACCTGGAGCCGCCAGGCGACTTCGCGT